TTGTGACTATGATGTATAAACATACTTGCATGTTGCCACTATTGAGAAAAGGTTGTGGGTTTAAATTATCGAAGAAGAATTACATAAGCCCTCAATCTGCTTTTTTTTGTTTGACCAACATTTAAAAGTGCCCACATTTATTCTTGCCACCATTGTTTGGGATTTCTTTTACAGGACACATTATCTAAAGAGGCGATTAGTTGTTTCAGTCTAACTTCTTAGTGCATTAGAGTGGCATGTTTTCCCATCATATGTGCATTTCTACAAGTATCCGTGTCATTTGATTTCAGCTGTTTGCAGGTACCAGTGTGGGAAGAACATGGCGTGCACTCTGCCCAACACCTGCACCTGCATGGAAGGCTACACTGGATACAACTGCCATATTGGTAAGATTATGTTTATTATTGTGCTGGAAACAAATGTATCAGTATCAATAAATGGCGATATACCGGCGGCATTATCACGCTTTATTTGCATATATTTTAATGTTTGTAGAGGAAGAGCCGTGAATGTGATTACTGTAGCATTGGGAATTAATTGCAATATCTTTCTTGCCTTTTCACTGTGTTGCTAAATGTGTCACTAGTAGTGGATAAGGCCCTGAGGACAAAGTAAAGCGATCTGATTGTTCCACTTCCAGTATCACTCTTGTTGGCACCTCGGCAACTTACAGTGTTATGATAGTTAAACCTTGGAGCACTCTGCATGCTGTCATGGCACATTACTGTTAAATCACCTCTGAGGACTTGGCTCATTTATCCGTGTCTAATTTTGTTGCCACTCAGCCGTGTGTCGACCTGACTGCAAAAACCAGGGGAGGTGTGTGAATCCTAATGTGTGTGAATGTCCTGCGGGCTACAGCGGGCCCACCTGTGAGGAAGGTAACCTGAGCTCATATTCACACCTGTCTAACATGCTGACACGCACAGAATACTGATGTGAGTCCTTGTGTTGTTTCGTGTCGGTGTGTGTAGCAAGCTGCGAGCCGCCTTGTCTACATGGAGGCACCTGTCTGGCCAGAAACCTGTGTACCTGCCCCTATGGATATGTGGGACCCAGATGTGAAATCAGTGAGTTGTTATCATAATACTTTGATTGGGTGAAACATTTTGTGATGTGCAAACAGTTTGTATTAAAGTTGTAGTCTCTGAGATTTACCGCGCTGTCTGTAAGTAGTCAATTGAATTTTTGTATCCCTCAGCGCCTGGACGGAGGCATTATGTTTTCAATCTGTCCACTTACCTGATTCAGTTTGTCCCATTTTCATTATTGCCATATCTTAGGACAAGTGAGGCAATGTCTTCACATTTGTCATAAATATCCACTTGGCCCAAGGAGGAACTGAAAAAGATGTTGGTGTTAAATGGTTAAGGTCACTGAGAACACACACAACACTTTATGGCCGTACCTCCATTCATCTGATAATTTGGACAATTTCACACACATTTCCAGGAGCATAAAATGATGAGGTGGCGGTATTTATGACATGGATAGGCATAAAACTACTAGGCAGTAATTCTAGTTTGCTGTAAATCAAATGAATTGCAATGAAACAATGACTTTGAGTTTAGAGTCAGTCATGTTGACTTCAAAGTCATTGATCATTGAGGGAATATTTCAACATTAACGGGAATATCAAAATGTACTTTCTTATGGAGATTCAGATGAGATTATCAATACCACTCATGATCACCTGTACATTAGCAGCAGGCGTTAATAATGTGATTTCATTTCCGGTCATTACCTTTGAGTGGTCGGCACATTTAGAATTGTCAATAATGATTTATCTGTTTCAGTGGTTTGTAATAGGCATTGTGAAAATGGAGGAGAGTGCATTTCTCCTGATGTCTGCGAATGCCAACCAGGCTGGTACGGACCCACATGTTACTCAGGTACAAGGTTACACCTGTCACCAAGTGTATATATTCACAATGCATCTACATGAGGTTTCTATTGCAAAGTTTCCCTCACAATTAACACAGCCTTGATATGTATAGACTCCCTTGCTGGGTGGCACACCATTTAATCATAAGACAAACTACTTGCATTTAATAAAACAATACATCTGATGTAACACAGGAAAACATACAGGCTTTTTTTGTCTGCCTTACAGTATACTTAAAGATTTTAAGAAAAACTCTAAACTACAAATCTGTATAATCTAAATGTGTCCTTGTGTCTTCCTCAGCTGTATGTAACCCCGTCTGTCTGAATGGAGGAACATGCATTAGGCCCAACATCTGTGCCTGTCCCGGCGGCTTCTATGGCTCCCAGTGTCAAATAGGTAAAACTGATGTTTATTTATCACACTGACACATCTGACTGCTCTGCTGTTCAACCCCAGATAAGGAGTGTGCAAAAATCCTGTATCTATTAATTGCACTAGGTCAGATTCTTTGAGGTGGTAGCTTGCGTGAAAAGACAATACACTACAGTAACAGTCAGCGTTAAAGAGATGTATTAGTTAGCTGATACCGGCTTTTTATGTAAACTCTATCAGTCTACCTGTGATATAATGCAGTTTCCCTGCAGCTGCATCCAATCAGAACCTGTCAATTAATCAATTTAAGAGCTTCACGTTTCTCTCAACATATACAATGTTGGTAACCAATCTGCAAAACCATGAAGAACTTCCTCTTTCTGGGTTTGAATTTAGAGTTTGTGATAATACATTTAATCAATAAAGAAACTTGCAGAAGTATCAGCAAAGTTAACAGCATACTTTTAAAAGATCTGAGACTCGGTTGCAATGCTGAGTTTACTTTCACCAATAATACATTTATAATTGGCTGAATCATGCCAGCCCTTACTACCTCACAGTACAGGGTCAGGGGCTTTCTTCTTGTACAGTAGAAGAGGATGGATAATTTGTTCAGTTTAATATTGTGTTTTTCAGCTGTGTGCAGTCAACCTTGTAAGAATGGAGGTCAGTGTATGAGGAACAATGTATGCTCATGCCCTGAAGGCTACACAGGAAAAAGGTGTCAAAGGAGTGAGTAAACTGGCATGTTTTAAGTCTTATTTAAAGTGAAACTCGTCACTGGCAGACCACTCTCAATATCTCACCCTAATGTATAAAAATGGTATTGCAGGTGTATGTGAGCCAATGTGCATGAACAAAGGCAAGTGTGTAGGACCCAACACATGCTCCTGTGCATCAGGGTGGACAGGGATGAGGTGCAACATACGTGAGTGACTCCATGTTTTATTTATACACCCCAAATATAGCAAAAGTATATTTAAAATCTTGAAATGATGTATTTAATCTGCATTTGTTACAGTTCCTTTAATCCATGTCATTGTTAAAGCGTTCAAGTTGTGTCAGATCTTCTGCCCACATGACGAAGCTGCTGTAGACTGAGTTCAGCCTCACTCTGTTTTTCTCACTGTAGCTGTCTGTCTGCAAAAGTGTAAAAATGGTGGCGAGTGTTTGGGACCAAACACCTGCCACTGTCCCTCTGGCTGGGAAGGTCTCCAGTGTCAGACACGTGAGTTCATTCATGATAAAACAAAGGATATTCAACACCGTACACTTGCCCCCTGCCATAACTTTATTTTTTACTAATTTGCTTTTTGTTGTCAGGATAAACGGACAAATGTATTTTATCACTTTATTCTTTTGATTATTTTTTCAAATGATTTAGTCACACATGCTAACTCCTGTAATATTGATCCTCTCCTCAGCGGTTTGTAAGCAGCGGTGCCTGAACGGAGGCAGGTGTGTCCTTCCTGACTACTGCTACTGTCGGAGAGGCTACAAGGGCTTGACCTGTGCTACAAAGGTCAGAAAAGGAGCCGCAATGTATACAGTACAGGTCTCTGTGTAGCCCAGTGGGAGAAGCAATACGAACTCCAGGGTTATATTCCCACTGGGATTTGTTAGCCCCAGGTTGTGTCACGGAGCTAAGCAACTGTTTTTCTGAAAGATAAATGTCCAGCAATGATACAACATCTCAAGACAGTCATCTGATGGTTGAGAGACTGCATCATAGATGTGTTCTGTGACAGGTTGAAAATGCAGTCTGAAATATACCACTATGTTTTTGCTGGGAAAGAAAACATATATATATTCACCAGTTATTCATTGTAAACTGAAGTATACAAACAAATTAAAACACTTATTACGTTTTTACAACGGTTATCTTTCAGAATAAACTGATGCTCTGCTCTATGGTTTCCTATTACAGCACACCAAGAAAAACAAAAGGCACCAACTTGGACTTAGGCTTCAAATAAATGAAAAGGCCACCTTCGATGTATCTTTAAACATAGCATGGAAAATCTAATGATTGTGTATTTATTTCTGTTTGCACCTATACAGGCATCACAAGCATGATGGAGGAGAAAGGAGAAATGGGAAGATAGGAGCTACACAATGCGCAAAGCAAGAGGAGGGCATCATAAATTGTTGTGACTGTGCAAATGTGAAGGCTAACAGGGGGACATGATGGATTGCACTTGTCTGCTCTGTATATCACTACCTCAAGGCTCACAGTAGCACACATCTGGTAAAGGCATCAGCAGAGACTTTCCACATATGTGAATGTTACTGCCCAGTATTATGTCAAATGAGTAGATGACAAATGAATCTGTTACCGTGATAATTCATTCATAAAGTGTAGGTTATCACCAATAGGTTTTTAGCTTTGGATGTTTCACTATTTAGCGGAATTAAAACTTTGCCAAACGGCACTGTTTGTTTCTCACTGTTTAAATGCTATGCCGCTTTATTGATTATGGCTCATGTAGAGGTTCACATCAGGTACTTGTTTAAGACTGAAGATATGGTGAGTTGAAATGATTTTTTCAGTTTTGCTTTCATTAATATATTGTTTGTGGGGGTTGAGTAATTACCATGTTTTGGGGATATATATAGGGTTTTGTTTTTGTATGAAAAAAATATCAGACAAAATGACACTGTGGTACAAGTTATGTGACAAAATAAAGAATGTTCAAGTTATGTGCTTTTGTTTTGGTAAAATGATCTTGATTCATGCACATCTCTTTGATTCATTTATTGGCACAAGCTACAGTACAGTACATATCATGTTTATACAGTCAAGTGAGAACACTTAAAAAGTTCAAGGTTTCTTAAAAACAACAAAATATAGTAGAAAAAATGTAAAAACGACATGTTTCAGCTAAATCATTGAATCGTCAACATTTGCATAAAGCCTCTTTTTGGGCTTCCGTGACCTTTGACTCGGCACTAGTGGGACTTATTCCTCTCCTCACAGAGAGGGCCAGAGAAAGGACGGCGGCAGCGGCATTTGTCTGGAGAAATACACTTTCCTCCATTCAGGCAGGACTTAGTGCACACAGCTTTAGCAGGGACAAAAGAAACAAAACAACGTGTTTAATCATTTGTAAAACCTAAGAAACAAGTATCGTAGTTTATAACTAGAGCTTGTAAATCCCAACACTACAAATCCAGAAACTGAGATGCGAACCATTTCCAGGTCTGGGTTTGTGTCACATCTGGCAAACCCCTTAGCTAGGAATGTTACCTTAGCAGATTTACACATTTGACTTATACAGTTATCAGCTGTTTGGCAGACTGATAGCTAACATTTATCTTCAGAGAAAGTTGAAGACAGTTAACAGGGATCCTGGGAAAGCACAACCAAATCTAAAAAGAACAAAACTTTGAATGGATGGGAAAGGAAGCAAAAATAAATCAGGCTTGTAAATGCATTCATGCATGTGGAAGTGTTTGGTCTTTGGGAGCAGGTTGAACTCACCAGTGTGGCAGGCACCACCCAGCCATCCCTCCGGACAGCTGCAGATTCCTGGAGCCACACACATTCCCCCGTTCCTACAGCCTTGTGGACAGATAGCTGCACGGGAAAGAAAATACATAGAAAGACATGCCGAAAAACAAAACAATCTGAGCTCACATTATCTGGATTCAGAAACATTTCTAGAGGAATACATCATTTGGTTTAGCCTGGCTCTGCCTGAAGGAAACAAAACCAGTCTACCCAAACCTCTAAAGATATATGATTTAACACATCTCCTTTGTGGAATCCAAACAAAAACTGAAGCATAAAAACAATATGTTGCCGTTTGACAAAGTGCGTGTTGGTATATTTCTTAGCCAGCTTAGCCGTTACCCCCATGTCCATGTTTTATGTTAAGTTAACAAGTAACGCACATCTCATTGAATTCTTAGCAAGACAGGGAATAGTCATATATCCCAACATGTGAAGACTATTTTATCTTTATAGCAAAAACAAAATGAGGTAAATAGGAAAAGGAACCAATTTGCTTCTTAGCTTTATTAAGTTAATCTCAACCAATACGATTGTTGGACATTTCTGCTATGTGCAACTTCATCTACACTTTACTGCCAATGCAAATGTTTCATCCATTATTCACACATCATAAATGTCATTCATAACAACTGAGTTATGAATAGCTGGTTTCCATTCTGACAGAAACTTGGAACCAATACCATAAGTATGTAAAATGTTTTAGTGTGCTGCTGAGGATGAATAGCTCCTGCTGAGAGACCAGCTCCATTTGGTGACTTTGACCTTTGGTGTCAACAGGGTAATTAGATACGATCATAAAATGTACAGACCATCTTGGCATTTTGAGCCGGTCCAGCTCGAGGGGCAGATACACTTGGCCACTCCGTTAACAGCATTGCATTCCCCTCCATTCCAGCAGCCGTCTTCACACGTCACTGTGGAAAGAGACACAGATCACTGTGATAAACTGGATGATAGTTTCAACTGTCCTGTCCTTAAGTATTTTGTCAACACTTATTTTAGAAATATTTAACTTAGTCACATTCCTAAATTCCCCCTGTCCTGGTATTTGTTTTGCAAGTCAACAGATGTATCTTCTCATCCTTACAGTACCAGTTACTACAGGATTGATGCAGAACAAATGCATTAAGACTAATCTCGACAATGAAATTAAAAATAGACAAGAACTTAACAACTTCCAAACAATTGTTGAACCCACAAGATATTTAAATTACAAATAACTGCAAACAAACCCTTACCTTTGTGACAGTATCGTCCTCCATATGCTGGAGGACATCTACATTTTCCAGGACGAAGACACGTTCCTCCATTCTTACATTTGGGATAACAATTGGCTGCATTGACACAAAATGTTGACATTAACACTCAAAGTGTGAATCTTAAATATTGTAAAAGTTAAAGTAGAATAAGTCATTATGATGAAGAGGTATGAATATGCTGAATATGATGAATATGCTCTCTTTTGGTGATATGGAAATCAAGATTCTTAAACTCAATATAGGGCTACATTCAGTCTCCTGACAGAAACCTAAAATAATCTGCATTTTAGTTACATTACAGTCTTATAAAATGCATTATGTGTGTACATTTAAGAGCATGACACTTGAAAAAACGTATTTCTTCTACTAGAGGAGGAACATATAGCTAGCTATATAAAACATGTAGGCTATTGTATATTCTACTGACACTTTTCTAATAAGAGAACATATGCAGGTAAAAAACAAAAATAAAAGTTTGTAACATCACCATACTGGCAGGTCTCTCCTTCATAGCCCTTGGAGCAGAAGCATGTGTTGTTGCGGATGCAGACGCCTCCGTGTTTGCACGGCGGTTCGCATTTCGCTTTTGGGTCAAAAACGAACCCGACCGCGACTCCTCTGGGGGCGTCCGAACCCGCGGCGGAGCAGAGAGCGACCAGGGAGAGCAGAAGAACCGCTGAACAGAGACCCACAAGACCCATGTTTAGTGTTTTGTTTCTGGGAGAGAGAAAGAAACAGAAAGGGGTTGAGGAGATGGAGGAGAAAGTACCGAGAGACCTCCCCACGACGCCCCCGCTGTGCACACACGGACACTACAGGTTACCGGGGCGAGCAGTCGTGCAGGGGGGCGGTGAGAGAGCGGTGAGGAGGGGCCGGATGATGTGGTGGGGTTGGATGCGTGGTGAGTTTGGAAAGTGGGCGCGTCACACAAACATTAGTTTTTGCTAATTTAGACGCTGGACATGGGTTGCCAACTCTCATGCATCTGGCGTGTGACACACGCTTTCACTCTCAATCTCACGCTCTCACGCTGCCCAAACTATTCTCACGCCAAATACAAGATGAACCGGCGATCGTTTTTGGTTGGTTATTTACTATGTTGAGTTGACAGCTGCTCAAGCTGTCGATCCGCTCCCTCCCCGCCCCCACCACTCTTAACAACGTTAACAGACAGCAGAGCAGTGGGAACCGGTCGGTCAATCCCCGACCCTTATTGCGTTTGCGCAGATCTAAGATCCAGTAGAAATGATAAAAAGTAAAAGTCTGCTGCTTATTGTTCTACTAGGCCAAAATAGAGTCAAAGAGTATATGGGAGTGAGAGTGTGTTAATCTGTGTGGGTCATGTATAGGCCTCTCACCAGGGGCGGATCTAGAAACATATTCATGGGGTGGCAGGAGAATTTCAGGGGTGGCATCCCCTGGCAGAAGTATATGCTGATTTAATCGCAGTCATATCAATCAATGTTAATTTGGAAAGCCACAATATTGATATTTTAACTCAATAACAATATGGTGACATTATTGTGGCACATCAGTAAAGCCTTACATATAAGGTGGCACACATCATTTAATGCATTTTAACTGAACAATACCAGGGGTACCAAATATATGCAGACTGCGGCAATAAGTACATTAATTAACTGTCTCATCGATGTTTGTCTGTATGAATATGATAATATTAATCATATTATTCCTCAGAGTCACTGTTATGATTCACATATTCAGTGTTATTATTAAATAAACTATATTTTTTGGAGGAGATAATGATGAATGTTCCTCAAGATGCTTGCTCATCCTACTTCAAATTTGAAAGACAAGTAATTACTATCATATATCAAAAGAACAGTTCAGCGCCCCACAACTTCATTGCAAACACTTACAACCTTGACTTTACATCAGAAAGAACAAACATTAAAGAAGTGACTAACTGCATCAGTTAGGGTTAAAAAACGTGTATTCAGCTAAAACATAAACATCGCTGCAGTTATTATCCAGTGGAAAGTCCTTACCTACTGGCCTAGTTAAATCAAAGTGGTTACTTTCTTTTGGGTGGGCAGTGAAGTTTTACACACCGTCTTATTTGACTTTCTCAGGACTGGAAACTGTTTTAATGCGCATCGAGTCATCCGTGAGCAGAGCATCAAGTTGGCATGCCTATAACAGCTGAAGTTTAGATTATTTCCCTGTCTCAATCCAAATTGAACTGTATGAAATAAAAAGGCACATTTGTCTTGTAGTAAATAAAAAGGGCGACCTGGAGCCAATCTTGCAATTTCCCCACAAGTGAAAGAGTTGACATGCTGAAAACCCAACCCCTGCAGGGGGGTCTGGGGGAATTCTCCCCTAGGAGATTTTTTGAAATACTAACATAAAACACACATTCTGGTACTCTCTTGAGAAGAAAAATAAATAAATCTATTACTACACGACATATTTAAAAAAATGAATGGTATTTAATTTGTTGTTACTTTGTTCTGAAAGCTGAACCTGCTGCTCCTCACAGAGAGAAGAGGCTGTGTGAATTACTTTACATTGTGGATAAGGGTGGATAGCCCCCATTGTTCTGTGTGTCCAAATGAAAGACAGCCCACACACATATCAATCATCAAACCGTGGGGTCTTATTTCATTACGTGTTGATTTCTATCAACACTGTATGTAAAGAGGGACTGGTCATATAGTACCGGGTGATTCCCTACCGCCACGATAATTTTCTCCTCAATTTTTTGACATATGGGAAATAACTGCGGCCTGGCTCTCCCAACATACACGCGATTTGATTGGCTAGCGCTTGTACTGTCAGATTTGCATACGCGGGATTTGATTGGCTGACGCCTCCGTCGAGGCGGCAAAAGTAGAACATTGCTCTACTTTTGCAGCGAGCACCGCGAGAGAAGCTACGCTTTGCTCCCACAATACAGTTCGGCGAATCGTGACGTCACCCCATTCAAAGTGAATGGGCAGAAGCGTTGAAGCGGCAACGCACGCCGCCGTGTGTAGGGGCCGTTATAGTCACGAAATATAATCTATTGATTCGACACAGAGCGATTTTAAAAGCAATGTATTTCTACTGGTAGTATGTTTCGTGCCTAAACCAAATGTGACTTGCTCTATCGAAATCAGTCACATTGACCCGAAGACACATTTTCGTTTGTATTACTGGTCTGGGGGAAGCTCGCGAGTGTGTGTGTGTGTGTTTGTGTACCGGGGAAACACTCACAAGAAACACCGGCTGTTGTTATGCCTGCTGTGACGATACATTAGTCCGTTCTCTGCTTGTAATTATGCCGAAGCTTCAAATTTGTATTTATCATCTGAATTTGCCGAAACAAGTTTAATATTCTGAAAGCCAATACTTTGTTTATTTGAAAACAGATGAAAATAAACTGTCTTTTATATAAAATTGAAGTATTATTCAAGTAAAACTACATTTTTGCTTTAATCCCATGTAATTGTAGAATGAACACAGTCTTCCTTTGAAGATGTATAAGTCAGGTGTCTTGAGTAGTCAGCATTACCTACAAATCATTGTACACATTTGTAAATATTATTTTCCACTTGTTACCATTGTGAGGCTATTTTTATGCAGCTCTGCGTGATTTTGTGGCTACAATTCAGACTAATACACTACCAGAGGTGGAATAAGTACTCAGATCTTGTACTTGAGTAAAAGTAGAAGTACTCAGATCTTGTACTTGAGTAAAAGTAGAAGTACTCAGATCTTGTACTTGAGTAAAAGTAGAAGTACTCAGATCTTGTACTTGAGTAAAAGTAGAAGTACTCAGATCTTGTACTTAGTAAAAGTAGAAGTACTCAGATCTTGTAGTGAAGTTATAAGTACTCAGATCTTGTACTTGAGTAAAAGTAGAAGTACCAGAGTGTAGGAATACTCTGTTACAGTAAAAGCATTCAAAATGTTCCTCAAGTGAAAGTATAAAAGTATTCTCATCAAAATATAGTGAAAGTAGCGACAGTAAAAGTAGTCATTGTGCAGATTGGTCCATTTCAGAATAATATATATGATATGTTTTATAATGATTGATCATGAAAGTGTTCTCAAAGCTGGTAAAGGTGCAGCTAGTCTGAATGACTTTGTATACTGCAGGGTAGCTTGTGGATTTACTCCAGGTGGAACTAAAGTCTGATTTAACACTTTATTAGATTTCACATCATTCATCCACATCTGTGAAGTTACTAAAGGTATTAAATACATGTTGTGAAAGAAAAGTACACCATGTACCTCTGACTTATGTTCACTGCCAACCTAAAAGTACCTCAAAAATAGTAATCAATAATGTATTGAAAAGTTATTTGGCTGATTGTTGTATATCGGCTCAGCCAGGTTATATGGGATGCCCAGTCTACGTACAGATCACTCATTTTGAAATATTAAACTTAGTTTTCTTTTCTTTAATTTTTCATCCTCGTGTAGAAGGCTATCACGAAACACACATTTGGTTGTTTATAGCATAAAGAACATCTGATTTAATGTGAGGGAGGGAAATAATCATTTGAGTATGTGCATATAAATATGTAATTTACAACAGCTGTAAGCTGCTTGAAAAGCTTGAAAATGCACCTTGAAAATGCTTGAAAAGTGCTTGAATTTGACTTTGGAAAAGGTGTAAGAACCCTGTTGAATACACTGATATACATTCCATTAAACAATACTAAATACTAGATCACCTACACATCAGTTAAGTTGAGGGTTTTTTCCATGCAAAAAGTTACATTTAGATGATAACAAGCAATATGACTTTGTCAGCTTTCTAATTTAATGTATTGAAGGCAAAGATATTTAACACATAGTGAGAACTGCTACTATTTATCTCTCAATATTGTCTGTAAAAAACGTGGTAAAAGTGATTCTTTCAGTGAGACAACAGAGCAAGCTTCTACAGTTGCACTACGTTTTGATAACAGTTACATATTACCCAAAAAAGTAAAGTAAAAGTAGAAAAGTATTATCATCAAAATATAGTGAAAGTAGCGACAGTAAAAGTAGTGATTGAGCAGATTGGTCCATTTCAGAATAATATATATGATATGTTTTATAATGATTGATCATTAAAGCGTTCTCAAAGCTGGTAAAGGCAGCTAGTTTGAATTAATTTGTATACTGCAGGGTAGCTTGTGACTTTACTCCAGGTGGAACTAAAGTCTGATTTAACACTTGATTATATTTCACATCATTCATCCAGATCTGTAGAGTAACTAAAGGTATTAAATACATGTAGCGGAGTACAAGTACACCATTTACCTCTGAACTGTAGTTGAGTAGAAGTACAAAGTAGCATAACATGGAAATACTCAAGTAAAGTACAAGTACCTCAAAATTGTACTTAAGTACAGTACCTGAGTAAATGTACTTCCTGACCTGTGTGTCAAAGAATAGATTTCAAAATACTGCTGCTGGTTTATAAAGCACTGAATGGTTTAGGCCCAAAATACATTTCTGACCTCCTGCTAAATTATGAACCATCCAGATCTCTCAGGTCTTCAGGGACTGGTCAGCTTTCTGTCCCCAGAGTCAGAACTAAACATGGTAAAGCAGCATTCAGTTATTATGCTCCAAATATCTGGAACAAACTCCCAGAAACCTGCAGGTCCGCTGCAACTCTGACTACTTTTAAATCCAGGCTGAAGACTTTTCTTTTTGTTGCTGCTTTTAATTGAACTATTCATATCTTAGACTGCACTGTAACTTTTATCCATGTATTTTTTCTTTTAATGTTTATTTGATTAGCTTTTCTTTTTAATGACTGATTTTAAATGCCATTTTCTTAATGTCTTTCATTTTTTGTAAAGCACTTTGAATAGCCTTGTGTTGAAAAGTGCTATATAAATAAACTTGCCTTGCCTTACCTCTGAATTTACTGATATAATGTGATCATTTAATTTTCATTATTCACAAAACC